CATGATGAATAAGCATTCAGTGAGTCATACATGCAGAGTATTTCTGTGTGCACAGGTCAGCTGGGTCCCAGGGGCTCGCAGAGGGGAGTTTACTTTACTGAGCGCCGGGTCAGGAGGAAGAGTTCTGTTGTGGACTGTTGATGGAGCTGAAGCCAAACTCATCTTGAGTTCTGGATATGCTCTTGTTCAACAGCAAGTGCCTCAGAGTGGAGCAGCAAGCAAAGTGGGTGTCACAGTATGGTCTTGGCAAAAAAATTATTTTGTAAAAATTGCAATCAGTGCATTTTTCTTTGTGAAGATGATGTAATGAACGTATTACCCTAATGAACCACATGGTTTTTACACAAATTAATGTAATTCAGTTTAGATATGATATCTAATCGTTATTGTAATGATCCCACATAAATCAGAATGAGAAAAAGAATGTGCTAATTAATTATAACTTTCATGACCTGGTAAATCTCAAAAAGCCTGTCATATACAAGTTATATTTCATCTCAAAATATCGGGTATTTAACCTATTAAATAAAACGTCTGTGACTGAAACATGATGAATAAGCATTCAGTGAGTCATACATGCAGAGTATTTCTGTGTGCACAGGTCAGCTGGGTCCCAGGGGCTCGCAGAGGGGAGTTTACTTTACTGAGCGCCGGGTCAGGAGGAAGAGTTCTGTTGTGGACTGTTGATGGAGCTGAAGCCAAACTCATCTTGAGTTCTGGATATGCTCTTGTTCAACAGCAAGTGCCTCAGAGTGGAGCAGCAAGCAAAGTGGGTGTCACAGTATGGTCTTGGCAAAAAAATTATTTTGTAAAAATTGCAATCAGTGCATTTTTCTTTGTGAAGATGATGTAATGAACGTATTACCCTAATGAACCACATGGTTTTTACACAAATTAATGTAATTCAGTTTAGATATGATATCTAATCGTTATTGTAATGATCCCACATAAATCAGTGCTAATGTGCTAATTAATTATAACTTTCATGACCTGGTAAATCTCAAAAAGCCTGTCATATACAAGTTATATTTCATCTCAAAATACAGCAAATTACATTAATGATTAAAAATTAGTTTTTTTTTTTACTTTATATGATTTATGTTTTTGTCAGTTTTATTTTTTTTTAAATACGTCTATATAGATATTATAATTTAAGAAAAATAATTGAATTCAATTAATTTTATTTGTTTTTTTATTTAGTTTTATATATTTTTCGTACATCAGGTAAAACTAATTAAAATGAAAATGAGAAATGTTGCTTTGGCAACTAGCTGAAATAAAATAATTTGTATTTATTTATTTGTTTTACATCAATTCATTTACTGTTTATTTTATAACAAGTAACAAAAATGTTTTTTTTTTATGATTTATTTGTTAACTACTTTTTAGCTATAATAACCTTGGTATGTGACGATAAAAATTACCGTATATAGTATGTCATTTGTAAGAAAATTTATATATATTATGGCAATATTTATTTTACTGTTATAATGCAGTTTTTTCACAGTGCAATATAATATATTATAATATATAAATATAATATAATAATAATCTTTTGATTTTGGGATGAAATGTGACCATGCCATATTTTTGCGCATTTTACTCTAATAATGCAATACAATTGTCTCTCCCTGAAGACCCCAGGTATCACCAATATAGAAGTAACCTCTGTTGCACTTTCCCCCTGGGACCTGGACACGTTCTTGGTGGGCTCAGAGGGAGGCCTTGTGCACAAATGCTCTTTCAGCAGTGCCCCCTGATGGTGAGAGCGTGACACTGCGGGCCCCAGTGCAATTCTCTTTCTCAACACGAGGGGGCCCAGTACACTCAGTCCACTTCTCACCATTCCATAGGTGAGCTTTGTGGTATTTTTTTTTTTTAGCTTTATTTACTTAGTATAATATCTACTTTAAGGATAATTGGTAATTGTAACATCTGGTGTTTCTGATTTTTAGGAATCTGTTTGTAAATGTTGGGACAGATAGTTTGGCTCATCTGCACACTGTGCTCCAGCCCCGTCCCCTGCTGTCTCTACGGGTGTCTGATTCATATACGTTTGGGGTGCGGTGGTCACCCACACGCCCTCTAGTATTTGCTGCAGCCACAGGACAGGGTGAGATGTTTGTAATTCTCCAAACTGCAATTTTTAAGTTTTTTTCCTCCTTAATTTGACATATTTTACATTTTTACCATTTTACTTTTTTTTTTCTCCATAATTTTTAGGACTGGTTCAAATGTTTGATTTGGGTCGAAGGTCTTTAAGGCCAGTTGCCACAATTGACCAGAACACAAGCGGTCAGCCAACGTATTGCCTGGAGTTCAACCCCAAACACACAAATCTGATGGCAGTGGGCAATGCAGATGGTAGTGTCAGCATCTGGCAGCTCAGCGCCGAGTTAACGGAACAAGGTGCCAAGGAAACGGCAATGCTAGAACAGCTGGCCAATGAGGTGGCGGACTGAGTCTGTTTGAAACTTTCTTAAAACACATTTATATATGCATTGCATATCTTCAACTGTACATTTACACTGTTAAAATAAAACACTTGACAATTCCTTCCAGTTATAACCAGTAGCGTTTATTTAAGCACACTGCAGTCTCATGGGTGATGTTACAGCAGATCCTCTCTATAGGTTTGTTAAATAAAGCAAAGCACTTAACAGCTAAAACAACCACAATAAAATGCAGACAGATCCACTACACTATTGTCAGTGAAGCATGAGGAAGTGTCAGATAAATACGCAGGGTTAAGAGTGATAGCAAGATACAGATATTGCTATACTGGGTGCTATAGAGAATTTCAATTCAGATCCATGCAGTTTGGTTGTGTGTTCTTGTGAAGGGGGGAAAACGCATCCCGATTGGTCACTGGCAGGCAGGGGGCAGGGAATCAGTTGACGAAGAGCGAGCGGGTGAATTCCACAAAGTCGAAAGCTGACGGGATCTCACGGCCCTTGCTGTCCAAGTAGGGCTTCATATGGGAAATGCAGTAGTCTGCCTGTTCCTTCGTCAGGTTCTGTAAACACACAGAAGGTCATTAAGACCAACTTTCTAACACCAAACATGAAAGCGAGACCAAAAGTTTGATATTGATCCAATACCAGTTGTAAATGGTACCTGGTAGAGTTCTTCCTTGGTGACGTAAGGTTTGTTCTCGGCGCTGAGAGCACGGAAAGCGCTCTCGATCTCCTCGCTTGACTTCACGTTCTCTGTTTCTCGGCTGATCATGAAGGCCATGTACTCCTGCAAGGACACGTTTCCATCCCTGAACGAAACAAATTGATGTTAGCTCCATGACGGAAAGAACAGAATATTTAGCTCATCCACAGATGATGTTTCTCACCTGTTTGGATCCACTATGTCCAGGATGGACTCAAACTCTGGGTCTGGTTCTCCTTCTTCAACCATGGGCAGGTCATAGCCCAGAGACCGCAGGCAGGACTTGAACTCCTGGTGATTGAGACGTCCAGATTTTTCTTTGTCGAAATGCCTGAGAAACAAACATTTGTTACATTTTCAAGAATGCTTGAGTTTAGCATTTGCGATTTGATTTTCATTAAAGTGGATTACTCACTTGAACATCATGCTGAACTCCTTCAGGGCCTCTTCTGTTACTCCTGTAGTGTTTCTAGAAGAGAATTACAAGAAAAAGAATAAGTAAAATTAAATGTAAAAAAATTTATAATAACAACAATGTATTAAAAAAACAAAATGGTATTCTAATAAAAATCAATAATAATTATAATAGTCAAAAAATGTTCTTAATATATATATAATATGATGGAAAAATGTTGTGGACTGGTCTGAGAAGTGGCACCTGGCTTGGATCTGTTGTTCCAGGTTGTGTTGCATTCTCATGCCCAGTTGGTCGAGTTGGTCCCACTGTTGGGCCAGACCCACGGTGCTGTGTTCTGTGTATTTGTTGTCTAGGATCAGCGCCTCCTCCATGGCTGCTCCCAGATCCTCGATCTTCTTCAGCTGACTTCGCATGGCACGAATCTCCTGGTGCTTTTTTTGCGCATTTTACTCTAATAATACAATACAATTGTCTCTCCCTGAAGACCCCAGGTATCACCAATATAGAAGTAACCTCTGTTGCACTTTCCCCCTGGGACCTGGACACGTTCTTGGTGGGCTCAGAGGGAGGCCTTGTGCACAAATGCTCTTTCAGCAGTGCCCCCTGATGGTGAGAGCGTGACACTGCGGGCCCCAGTGCAATTCTCTTTCTCAACACGAGGGGGCCCAGTACACTCAGTCCACTTCTCACCATTCCATAGGTGAGCTTTGTGGTATTTTTTTTTTTTAGCTTTATTTACTTAGTATAATATCTACTTTAAGGATAATTGGTAATTGTAACATCTGGTGTTTCTGATTTTTAGGAATCTGTTTGTAAATGTTGGGACAGATAGTTTGGCTCATCTGCACACTGTGCTCCAGCCCCGTCCCCTGCTGTCTCTACGGGTGTCTGATTCATATACGTTTGGGGTGCGGTGGTCACCCACACGCCCTCTAGTATTTGCTGCAGCCACAGGACAGGGTGAGATGTTTGTAATTCTCCAAACTGCAATTTTTAAGTTTTTTTCCTCCTTAATTTGACATATTTTACATTTTTACCATTTTACTTTTTTTTTTCTCCATAATTTTTAGGACTGGTTCAAATGTTTGATTTGGGTCGAAGGTCTTTAAGGCCAGTTGCCACAATTGACCAGAACACAAGCGGTCAGCCAACGTATTGCCTGGAGTTCAACCCCAAACACACAAATCTGATGGCAGTGGGCAATGCAGATGGTAGCATCAATATCTGGCAGCTTAGTGCCGAGTTAACGGAACAAGGTGCCAAGGAGATGGCAATGCTGGAACAGCTGGCCAATGAGGTGGCAGACTGAGTCTGTTTTAACTTTGTCATTAGAAACTGTCTCGCTTGAGTGTTCTTGAAACTCTTTTTTTTATGTATCTTCAATTGTACATTTACACCATAAAATAAAAACACTGACAACTCCTTCCAGTTATAACCAGTAGCGTTTATTTAAGCACACTGCAGTCTCATGGGTGATGTTACAGCAGATCCTCTCTATAGGTTTGTTAAATAAAGCAAAGCACTTAACAGCTAAAACAACCACAATAAAATGCAGACAGATCCACTACACTATTGTCAGTGAAGCATGAGGAAGTGTCAGATAAATACGCAGGGTTAAGAGTGATAGCAAGATACAGATATTGCTATACTGGGTGCTATAGAGAATTTCAATTCAGATCCATGCAGTTTGGTTGTGTGTTCTTGTGAAGGGGGGAAAACGCATCCCGATTGGTCACTGGCAGGCAGGGGGCAGGGAATCAGTTGACGAAGAGCGAGCGGGTGAATTCCACAAAGTCGAAAGCTGACGGGATCTCACGGCCCTTGCTGTCCAAGTAGGGCTTCATATGGGAAATGCAGTAGTCTGCCTGTTCCTTCGTCAGGTTCTGTAAACACACAGAAGGTCATTAAGACCAACTTTCTAACACCAAACATGAAAGCGAGACCAAAAGTTTGATATTGATCCAATACCAGTTGTAAATGGTACCTGGTAGAGTTCTTCCTTGGTGACGTAAGGTTTGTTCTCGGCGCTGAGAGCACGGAAAGCGCTCTCGATCTCCTCGCTTGACTTCACGTTCTCTGTTTCTCGGCTGATCATGAAGGCCATGTACTCCTGCAAGGACACGTTTCCATCCCTGAACAAAACAAACCGATGTTAGCTCCATGACAGAAAGAACACAGAATATTTAGCACATCCACAGATGATGTTTCTAACCTGTTCGGATCCACTATGTCCAGGATGGACTCAAACTCTGGGTCTGGTTCTCCTTCTTCAACCATGGGCAGGTCGTAGCCCAGAGACCGCAGGCAGGACTTGAACTCCTGGTGATTGAGACGTCCAGATTTTTCTTTGTCGAAATGCCTGAGAAACAAACATTTGTTACATTTTCAAGAATGCTTGAGTTTAGCATTTGCGATTTGATTTTCATTAAAGTGGATTACTCACTTGAACATCATGCTGAACTCCTTCAGGGCCTCTTCTGTTACTCCTGTAGTGTTTCTAAAAGAGGAGTACAAGAAATAAAACATGTAAATTCCATGTTACAAAATGAACTATTAAATAACAATAATAAAAACATAAATATATAAAAAACAACAAAATTGTATTACGATAAAAATGTATTTTTATAAAAAATGTTATAATATAATATCATATAATATAATGAAAAAATATTAAGGACTGGTTTGAGAAGTGTCACCTGGCTTGGATCTGTTGTTCCAGGTTGTGTTGCATTCTCATGCCCAGTTGGTCGAGTTGGTCCCACTGTTGGGCCAGACCCACGGTGCTGTGCTCTGTGTATTTGTTGTCCAGGATCAGCGCCTCCTCCATAGCTGCTCCCAGATCCTCGATCTTCTTCAGCTGACTTCGCATGGCACGAATCTCCTGGTGCTTCCGCTGCAGGGAAAACCAGAGGGATAAGACATGAGAACAGAGCATCTTATAGTTCAGTGTGTCTATTACTGTCTAGGGTTTAAAGTTTATGCAACTGTTTTAATGAGTTATTTTCTACAGACTTCTCAAGTGAAATGTTAATACAATGAATTCCAACGATTTTTTCCATGACTTTCTAGTAGTTTATAATGAATGGCTATTTGGAAAGCACTTTATATAAATAGGACACACACAGCAATGTTTCACTAAAAAACAGCATGACTATAAAAACAATTGTACTTACTATATATATTGTACTGAAATGTCTTGCAGATTAAATAATTTAGAGCTCAACATAACTAGATTTGTAAAAAAAAAATATATTTTTAGGATTTTATCAATTTGTATGACGACCTGAAATTTACCATTTTGCACATAAAATGCAATTTTTTGGATTTTTCTTAAGCAATTTTTTATAAGAAACTGTATTTACTATTTTTTTCTATAATACACACTACCGTTCAAACAGTTTGCTGTCAGTAATCGTTTTAAAGAAATAAATACTTTTATACAGCAAGTACATATTAAATTGATCAAAAGGCAGTAAAGACATAATGTTACAAAATACTTCTATTTCAAATAAATACTGCTCCTTTAGACATTCTATTCATTAAAAGAATCCTGAAAGAAATGTATCTCGTATCACAAAAATATTTAGCAGTTTAAATATTATATTAATTTCAACATTGATAATTATGGTGGCCCAGTAGTGCACAACATAATGCATAGGACTCATTTTGTTGTGTTGTGCTAAATTCATTGTGTTTTGGCTTGTTTCCGTTGTGGCTTGTTTCCATTGTGTTGTGCTAAATTTGTTGTGTTGCAGCTTGTTTCCATTGGGTTGTGCTCATTTTGTTGTGTTGCGGCTTTTTTCCGTTGTGTTGTGCTAATTTCGTTGTGTTGCGACTTGTTTCCGTTGTGTGGTGTTAATTTCATTGTGTTGCGACTTGTTTCTGTTGTGTTGTGCTAATTTCATTGTGTTGCGGCTTGTTTCTGTTGTGTGGTGTTAATTTCGTTGTGTTGCGACTTGTTTCTGGTGTGTTGTGCTAATTTCATTGTGTTGCAACTTGTTTCCATTGCTGTGCTAATTTTGTTGTGTTGCGGCTTGTTTCCATTGTTGTGCTAATTTCATTGTGTTGCAGCTTGTTTCCATTGTGTTGTGCTAATTTCATTGTGTTGCAGCTTGTTTCCTTTGTTGTGTTAATTTCGTTGTGTTGCGACTTGTTTCTGGTGTGTTGTGCTAATTTCGTTGTGTTGCAGCTTGTGTTGTGTTGCATTGTGTTGTGCTAATTTCGTTGTGTTGCAGCTTGTTTCCATTGTGTTGTGCTAATTTTGTTGTGTTGTAGCTTGTCTTGTTTCCATTGTGTTGTGCTAATTTTGTTGTGTTGCGACTTGTTTCTGTTGTGTTGTGCACTACTGGGCCACCGTAGATAATAATCAGAAAAAGCTGAAAATTCAGCTTTGCCATCTAAAATATTAAATATATTAAAATAGAAGTTATTTTAAGTTGTAATAATATTTCACAATATTTAATTGATGATATTATTTAATACACTAATGCTTCATTTTGTTATTCACAATCGATCAGCTTCACCAAACGGGTCTCAATTATCCATCGAGTGCTCTCAAACTCACCTTAGTGGCCTCTAGCTGTGATTCTAGAGTTCCGGATTCTTCCACCATGCAGGACCTGCCCACACACAGAGTGATGAAACCAGCAGCAGGAGCCCGAGAGCACATGGCACATCCACCCAAAATCATCTCACTCACTCCACATGTCAGTCTACACCTTACAAGGGCGGCTCTCACTAGACTAGCTCACTTATTGGGTCAAAGAACAAAACCAATTGTATTGGGCAGAGTAGACCTTAAAAAGGTATTTTTTTATTTTTATATGACTATGAGTTTATACTATATTGTTTAAATTGTTTGCATAACCATTACATCTAGTTCTGTAACCTGCATCTTCCTGAATTTCTTGTACATAATAATGGGACTTACCAATTTTGTAGTAGATATGGAGTACAAACTATAAGCCACCCCAGAATGCAACTACAGTAACCAAAGTCATGCTAACGAAGTCAAATTATATCCATGGTAATCCAGACCATGCTTGATTAGGGCTGCTGTCAACAGGGTTAGAAACTGCTATATTTGTACCACTGCTTAGTTTTAGTTTTGTCTTGCACACTTTTAAAAGCAAAATGTGCAAAATCGAAGATTCAGAGTTGGACTCGACTAGCCATATTATAAATGTCCAAAAAATGTCAATGCACAGTTGTTTGAATTCAGATCAGGATATTGAAAATGTCTACAAGTACTTTTTCAATCATGGAAATCACATTGCAGTTTCCACCCTGGATCTGGTGCATTGAACATTTTCCTCAGAATGAAGAAGAAAAAACAAAACAAATAACTGAAACATGGAAAAAACAAAACGTTTAAAGAATGAGATGAAGTGTTCACACTCCTCAACATCAGTGCCAAATGTAGCCAGGCTTGTTGGATTAAGAAGCTGGAAGGGTTCATCTAAAAAAAAGCCTCACATCGCAGTGAATGTTAGTAAAAGGGAATTGAACACACACAGAGCCTTTACAGTGGGGGTCAGACTCGAGTGCATGAGGAGAAGAAAACCCAAAAGGTGTGGGGTGAGGGGGCAAGAGGCCAATCAGAGGAGGAAAAAAAGGGAGAAGACCTTCCAGAAAGATCATCATCGACTTCATACTGATAGACACGGATTACCCTCCGATAGGCTATGCTATTCAGAGACGAGGGAGGTGGGAGATGAAGAGGGAATGGAAAAAGAGTGTGAAAAACAGAAAGGAATACATCTGGAAATATATAGTCAAAACATACGATAAAATACGCAAAATATAAGTGAGATAAAGTCCTTCTTGAGACACCCTGTATTATTTCTATCCAAATTATTGTTCTATTCTAACCTGTTTCTATCATAATGGTTCCATTAAATGCTATTAAACAATACATACACACTCACACACAAACATACTATAGTAAAGAGTAAAAAATGTGATATTAACCCATCCAGAAGGTATGTCCTGATTAGAGAAATGATCCCAAGCATCAGGGTAGCAGCGAGAAGGCCGAAGGAATGGGGAAAGAGAGACAAATAGAGGAGGGAGAGAGAAAAAAACAGTTAAAACATTGAGTGGTGACATCAACACCACTACTCAACACTCACATAAAAAGAAAATGTGACCAGCACAAAGCCCTGCTGCAGCATATCAAGCCCAGGTGGGTTTAAGTTGTGTGATCAATGTGAAAACCTTGATCACACCCAAACAGACAACATGGCAAAGCAGGCAATGACTTAAAGACTGTAGTCACAAAAACAGTCGATGACACGAATGAAAATGGGCATCTAAGAAAGTTACATGGAGATCAGGAAAGCTTGATCAAATGCGAACAAATGTGTGTGTGATGTCATGCAATGGAAACAAATGTGTTGCATGCGGTGTGTTTAAACCTCGAGCATAACTCCACTCTAGTGAAACTCTACTCTAGAGAACACAGCACTGTAAGTAGTGCATGCTGGTCCTCTGTACCTGGTCTCCTGCAGCCATTGGTGGAAGGCATTGGCATGTTGGGCAAACTCTTGTCTGAGTTTATCGTTCTCTTCCTGTCTCCTCTGTTCCTTCTGTAGCTCCAGCTCTCGCTCCTATAAATCATATTTATATAATTATTGAGTTTTTTAACTCTACTTTATACACATTCAATCATGCTTCAGGATTCCATTATTACCTTGATGATCTTTTGAAGGTTCCTCCAAGTCTCCTCTAGAGCCTCCATGGTGAACCAAGTGTATGGATTGGAGGCCACGTGGTAATTCTTGATCTGACGATCAAGTTCTGCCAGTTGGTTGAAGTCGGCCTCTGCGGAGCTGAGCGAGGAGCGGAAGGCGTCATGGGCATCCCGCAGGGCCCTGATCTCCTCCAGAGAGTTGCACCTTACAGGGTCTGTCAGATCTTCTTCAGCGTTCTCAAACCAGCTGTTGAAGGCTGAGGCCTTCTTGGCAAAGGTGAGGAACAGATCCTCGACCTGGATGGAGTAGCGAACAAGAGTTAAAGACACAAAACAAAAACGTATTTTTCCTGACTTGAGGCGAAATTTCATTCTTCACACCTTTCTGAAGTGCTCCTGGGCCTCCAGAAGCTTCTTCTTGCGGGCGGCTGAGTTGGACAGCAGCTGGTTCCAGCGCTTCATCAGGGTGGCATGACGAGCCTCAATGGCCTTGGACTGTACGTGTTTGGCAGCCAACAGCTGGTCTTTCAGGGCTGTGATGTTGGTGATGCCCTCCTGCTGGAAGGCCTGAAGCCCAGCATCAAAGGTTTCCTATGACAGAGTGGAATCAAAACAGTCAGTTACAGCAGTAAATGGATATGCTGTGCTATGGCTATATTATTCCATATGCTATGTCACACCTGTTTAGTGAGCAGAGTCTGCACCGAGGAGAGATCTCGACCATAGTCATCGGTCTTCAGGCTGTTTTCCTTCTCGCCTAAGACACATTTGAGTTACAGATTACAAAGAAGCAGAGAAAATAACATGTTATTTCTTATCAAACCCTCTTTTAAATGAGGTTTGATGCATATGAGAGGAAACATTTACTCACCAATCCAGGACTCCACCACATCAGCCTTCCAGTTGAACTGAAGGAAGGCAGAGTTCTCATCCAGTTTAGATTTCCTCTGAGCTGCAGCTCTCTCAAGCTCTGACACTTTCCCACGCAGGGCCTTCATTTTAGCCATGATGTTCTCCACGTTGTGGTTTTCCTGCACAAAAAGCCCGAATATGATGTTATGATATTGCCATCAGGTCACATCCTACTTCAAAGGGACTGTCTATAATAAAGCGTTAAAGGGTCAAATCGGTAAATTTGTAGTATATGGACTTTGTAATAGTTGTACTATACCTTTTTGATAAGTTCATCTCCATTGGAACAAACATCATTCACTCGGTCCCTGTGCACGGTAAAATCCGTTTCAAATGCTTCGTGTTTCTTCAGCAAGCCCTGAAAAAGAAGAGCCAAATAAAGAAACTTAAGACACAAGCTAAAAAAAAAGCATTATGAAGGTGTGTCCAAGATCAAGCCATAATCAGCTAAATGTGGTTTATTTTTTCACACCTGCACAGCTGCCAGAGTATCACCGTAATCCTCGCTTCCGACCAGGTTCAGTTTCTCATTAATCCAAGCTTCCTCTTCCTCCACATTTGCCACAAACTGCTGGTACTCTAGTGACTCCTCAAGCCTCTGTCCACTAAAAACCGGAAAACCAAAGAATTTTCAAATTCCTATCCTAGGCAATATACATAATCATAAGATTTTTGTTAATGTTTTTGAAAAAAAAAAATCTTACTGATCCAAACTTTTGAATGTGATCAGAAAAATAGACCAGAAAAAAGTAAAATAGTAAAATACGGCACTGACCGAGCAGCAGCCAGATCTTTCAGTTCCCTCCAGTGCTCCACAAACTGGGCCAGCCTCTGATGGATCTCCTCCTGTCCAATGGTGTTGTCATCAGACAGCTTCTTCCCAGTTTCCAATACAGACTGCAAGGCCACAAAAATACTGTCAGCATTCAGAATGACGATTCACTTAAGACTTTTTCATTTCTGTGAATTGATATGCAACCATGTTGCAGGTGACTCCTCACCTGAATGGCCGGCTCGTGTGCTCCAAGTTCAGCCTCCAGCCTCTTGTGTTTCTTCCTCAGATTCTGTACTCCTGTCAAATCACGTCCGTAGTCCTCCGAGCTCACCAACAACTTCTTTTCCCTAATGGAAGAGAATGAATTCAATCTAGTGTACAGCCTCAAATAATGCAGTTAGTGTGAAAAATGATAGATCACTCAGAATGATGTCAACCATACTTGATCCAAGATTCCTCATCGTCCAGATCCCTGAAGAACTGGTGCAGACGATGCGACTCGTTCAGCTTGGCACGGCGCCCAGCAGCCATGCTCTTGATTTTGCCAAAGCGTCCGTTGACGGCATCACGCTTGTCCTTAACCTGAGAGGTGTCGAAGGCATTGCTGGACATCAGACTGTCAGCCTGGCCATTGAGATCCTTTAGACGATCCTATAAGAACACAAAAACAAGCATTGATCAGACATACTGGATTTTGGTAATGCTCTAAATGAGTGATCCCTGATCAGTATGTCTGAAGAGCTACCTCATGAGCAGAGATGTCAGCCTCCAAAAGCTGGTGCTTCTTAAGGAGATTGTTGACTGAGGCCAGATCTTTGCCATAATCCTCAGAGGCAAGAAGAGCCTCAACCTAAAAGCACAGGAAAAATGTGCAATGGATATTATTATCATTAATATTATATCATCAAACTTTTACATTTAAAGGGATAGTTCACCCAAAAATGAAAATTTGTAATGTAGGCGACGTTGTTTCTTCAGTAGAACACAAACGGAGATTTTTAACTCAAACCGTTGCAGTCTGTCAGTCGTACAATGTAAATAGATCATTTACATTATAAATGAATCACGGCTTTGAGAGTCATAAAACATACACAAACAAAACCAAATTAAACCCTGCGGCTCGTGACGATACATTGATGTGTAAATACACAAAACGATCGGTCTGTGCAAGAAACTGAACAGTAGTTACATTGTTTTTTACCTCTGATTTTCACCGCAATGTCTGAACTGTCCTGAGCGCGTTCGTGTCTTCTTCAACCTACACATCAATGTATCGTCACGAGCAGCAGGGTTTAATTTGGTTTTGTTTGTGTATGTTTTTTTGACTATCAAAGCCGTGTTTCCCATCCACTAACATTATAGGAGTGACAGACTGCAACGGTTTGACAAAATAATGTTCTTTTTCGCAGCATCATATGACCCCTTTAAGTCAAGAACTATCCTAAGTAGCTACTAAGTCATATCTCAATACCTCAGACAACCAGAAGTCAAAGTCCTTGATGCCAGTGTTGAAGTTCTGCTGTTTGTTTGCCTCTTTCAGTTTTTGACTCTTCTCGGCAGATTTGTTGACGAGGAACTGCCACTGCTCATCCAGAGCATTAAGACGAGCCTGAGAGCAAATGTGAGCACAACCACAGCAAAATGAGCACAGACTGTAACTCACCATCTGCCTATTTCTGAAATACTTCTAAAATTGTTACCTTGACGGCATCCTCACTTCCAGCACAGGCACCTCTCTGGATGAGAGCATTGCCCGTGTCAATCACCCCACGGATACGATCAGCATTAGCGTGTAACTCAGCCTCAAAAGCCTGGTGCTTCTGGTGCTTGCTCTGAAAGTGGCAAGAAAGCGAAATACAGCTAAACTGAGCCACACAGTGATGTCATGCATGGGTGCAGCTGTGATAAAGCAATAGCTGGTTTTGTATCTAACACATGATACTGATATAAACGTCTCTGTGTAAAAACTCAATTCCAGTGAAAGCAGTGCATATTCAAAGCTATTGTTAACGTATGTTTGTGCATTTTATGTGTATGCCTTTGTGTAGACTGTTTGTGAAAGTTTATCATTATTTGTAGCCACGAAAGAGCAAACCTTTTCAAAACATCAATGTGTACATTGTGAGAAAAAAAGTGAGGTGACTGAATTTACAAACCACCAAACAAGGACCAAACATGTAACATGGAACTCATACTATGAACAGGACACATTCAAAGCCTGATGGAGCATTCAATAAAATGAACTGGACACCATCCAGCACACAATGAATTCTGTGAGGAACCTAAGAGGAGTTGGGGTGTTTTGTCTGAGATCATTTAATATTTTATATCACCCAGAGAGAATGGAAGAAGGAAAAAGCACTTCCAAATGGCTTATCTAAAGCATTTGCCGATACACTCAAAAGGAAGCCGGGCTGCTGGTACTGTAACTGTAGAGGTGCATCTCAAAAAATTAGAATATCGTGAAAAAATGTTATTTTTTTTGTAACTTATTTCAAAAAGTGAAACTTTCATATATTCTAGATTCATTACATGTAAAGTAAAACATTTCAAACGTTTTTTTTTGTTTTAATTTTGATGATTAGAGCTTACAGCTCATGAAAGTCAAAAATCTCATCTGAAGACAAGTTACAAAAAAAAAAAGAAAAAGAACTTTTTCACGATATTCAAATTTTTTGAGATGCACCTGTATATGGATTCTGGCCATAGCACACATGTAACTGTTTCTGTTGTTTTAGCACAGTATTCCACAAAAAAGCAAAGCAGAATAACTTGTTTGAAAGCACCTCTCCACCTTCTCTCTCTGGGTTGACAGAATTGCAGCTATGTTCGGAATATCACTAACATACTATACATACTACTTTTACAACATGCATATTAGATGTACTAGGAAATATTTGTATGCATGTAATATCTGGATGATTTCCTACATTTAGGGGCACACTGTAGGATACAAAGAGTTAAGAAAATTTACACTAAATTAAAAAAAATTCTATTATTTCTGGGATGAAAACTGAAACATAAAGCGGTCACGTGATAACAGGAAAAAGCTCTAGGTTTGCTGTGCTTCTTTGTAGTTGTAAAAAAAAAATGTGGTGAATATATATAAATAATAATAATCATAAAGTAAGAAATGTTATAAATGTAATATTTCACTGTAGAATTAAAACAATTAAGAAAAATCAATTTTTTACAGTATACAAGTACAATTACAAAACTAATTTTTATGACTGTCTTAATATCTTTATTTTCAAACATTAAGCCATCGAAATAAATGAAATTGTAGCAAAGTGCTACAGTACTGTATGTGTATATCACATACAGTATATGTGTTTATATTATGTGTAATGCATTCTGATTCACACAGTAGTACATAAAACAGTGGGCAGCATAAAGCATATAATTCTACTATGCTATTCTGAACATGGCCAAAAAATTGTCTTCGCATACTACTTTTTGTCAAAATTTGCTCTCAGATCCACAACTCTGTGAGAAGCTCAGCTTTTCTGTGTGGAATAAATTTAAACCAAGACATCCCAACTTCAATGACACAACAAGAAAATGGAGGCCACACCCAGCAATTAAAAATTAAATGCTGCAACAATGGGGCGCGGGAAGGGGACAAACAACTGATGATGCTGTACAAAGCGAGACACATAATAGACATACGGAACTCAAATACACATTTACAGACAAAAACAATGAGACAACGGACAAGTGGAGAGACCCTATTGGGGTTAGTTAGCTCTGGCACACTACTGCACTTACCAGCAGCTTGGACAGCTAGAAACAGACAATGGGAACACAGACAGAGTTTCAGTTTAATTTCCTACATAATAAAACACTTGGGGTTGGTTAAGGTGGGGATAGTAAGAGAAACACATTTTAATTTGCACTTGAACGTATTATGCTATTAATATATTTACAAGGTTAGACTTAAGCGCAATATTCACCTTTAAAACATAAAACATAGCATGTCTGCAAAAATATTGACATATCTGTCCTGAGAGTGATGCCTGAAATGTGACATTACCTGGATGTTGGTGGGGTCCTTGTAAGACTCGTCAGTGGCGGTTTGGAGTTTCTCACTGATCCATGCTTCGATCTCATCTACATCTCTGCTGAACTGCTGCAGAGTCTGGGACTCACCCAGCTTAGAGCGTTTCTCAATCATCTGAGCCTTGAGACGGCGCCACCTGGAGGTCAAAAGGACATACTGCTTGAACTTAAATGACAAATGGGACAGATTCACTCAGTGAGAGCAGTATCAAAAAGAAGAACCCAGACCTGTCTAAGACCTCATTACGACGATTAAAGATCTCAGGTTTGGCGTAGTGGTCAGCGCTAATGAGCTGGTCAGCGAAAGACTGCAGTGCTGCAATTTTCTCTTCCTGTGAGGACAGACAAATTTAAATAATTAATCACAAAAAAAAACCTCTAGATTCAAAATCAAATAATCTCAAGCTTGACTGCTTTATATCACAATGGCGCTTGCTGACCTGCACATTGATAGCCTTATCAAAGTCTTCATGTTTCTTGATGAGAGCCTCCACGCTGTCCAGGGAGTCTCCCTTGTCATCGCTGGCCAAGAAGGCCTCGCGAGCTGCCATCCAGTTCTCAGCCTGCTCGCAGTCACGGTTGAATAGCTGCAGGAGACAAAAATAAACATATGATATCATTTGCCATCTTCAAGTGTTCAAGTTTTGTGTATTAAATGTAAACATGGTCCTTGCTGACCTGCAGCTCCAGGCACTGATCCAGCATCATCCTGCGCTGGACCCAGGCCTTCTCTAGGTCGGCACGTTCCCGTTCAAGAGCCTCCAGCTTCTGTTGGATCTCAGGGCTGGCATAGTGGCCACGGGCAAGCAGCTGCTGTCCAAATTGTTCAAAAGCCTGGAAGGTGCCTACACGGGCGTCGATCTCAGTGCGGTGTTCCTACAGAATATGAATATGTGAGTGTTTAACATTTGTTAATGGGCTAAACAGCAGTGTTAATTTCGTTGACAAATAATTTTTGTCAATGACATTTTTTTCACTGACGACAACGAGACGATAACGAACTAAAACTCTTTTGAATGACAAAAACTATGACGTAAGTCTATTGACATTTTCGTCAACGAATAAAAACGAGACGAAAATGTTAGGGAGGGACGATTTGGGAAGAGATTCATTCAGAACGAATCTGCTGCGTGGTTCGAAGGTTAGATGCGTACATATGAACTGGCGGGACATAAACTAACATACACTTGCTGCACGTCGCATAAAATGTTCAAAAATGTCAATATGTAGAAGAGCAGACATATAGATAAATCTGGCGACGCAAGAGAGAACTCAGTTTGGTCCGGTTTTCTGGGGAGTAAGAGAAGAACAGACATATGGATAAATCTGACGACGCAAGAGAGAACTCAATTCGGTCCGATTTTCTGAGCGCAGACACTGAAGCACAGACAGAAAGCGCGTCTCACAGCACGTGAGTACTCTCTCGCTTCGCATGAACGGAGAATTACACACAAAATGATGTTGAATTGTCCGTTTTGACGAGTATTCATGTAAACACAGTTAAGTGAACGTAAACAGTAGGGAGAACGTGTATCAGTACATTGCATCCATTGCAACTGTGCATTCGGTTTTAAAGGGATAGCAGCCTAATTTAGTTGCTATTGTCCGAGTCACTGATGTTAAGCAAGCAACGAAAGAAAGACAGAAAATCACACACTGCTCTTGACTGAAAAACTTAAGTAGCCCTAAAGATTCATCTAAATTTATTTATGGAAATAAATATGTCTGCTTAAAAGAATGAAGAATATGGTTAACAAGTTGCTATAAAGAATGCATAATTAGCCTATATAACCATTGGTATTTCATAAATTAAATTACATTTTATTTAATTTTAACATAAAGTCATGTTGTGTGTCACCGCAGTTAAATTGGTGTCTATCATGATAAAACCTTAATATCAAACCTATATAATGAGTTTGGAAATTTTAGAGAAATGCTTAATAAATGCACTGTAACTAAACCCACTAGATTTTAGCCGACTAAATTTACTGTAGATTTAGTCGACTACAATCTTATGATATTTAGTCAACTAAAACTAAAAACAATTCAGATGACTAAAATATGACTAAAACTAAATGGCATTTTAGTCAAAAGACTATGACTAAAACTAAATCAAAATTTGCTGTCAAAATGAACACTGCTAAACAGGATTTTGTCAAATATTATCAAAGGAAACTCATCTTCTAAACAGCAACTGTAACAACCCTAGTAAAAAAGTAATATATTTAAAATACATTTATTTCATAGTAAGTATAGTTCAAATCTATTAATATATTTACTGACATATCGCTCGAGACTTACTGATATCAAAATTATAATTCAACTTTATTTGGAGTAGTACTTGTGCACAATGCATATTTCATATTATTAAGCCTAAAGTATACTTGCAAAGCACAATCAAATATCAAGTATATCTTTAGTTCAATCAAGTATATCTTTAGTTGGACTTCAGCACTACTTCTGCACAATTAAAATGCATTAAGTACAAAATTAGTTGTTCCAATTTAGCAGACTTTAAGTATACCAGTTTAGTATTTTTTTTAGTATTTAGTATTTTTTTATTAATAAATACATATGTAAATGTATTTGTAGTATAGTTAGCTTGAAATAAATGTATTTCAAATTTATATGTATTTTCAAATTTATAATGTATTTGAAATTACATTTCAGTTTTCACTAGCGAAAGTACATATCGTAGGAGTTTTTAAGTACCTGATGTCTCTCCAACAGGGCTTCAGCTCCAGTGACGTCCTTGGCCAGCTCATCTGAAGACACCAGCCCTCTGATTCCATTGATCCAGGACATGAGATCTCTGGGAGAGAGAAGCACAGATTTGTTTAGTCTCTTCTATATTATTGCTCAGATGTCATATAGCTTCTCCAAGTTGTTCGTTTTGCTCTTTTTTCCTCCTCCTCACCTGAAGTCACTGAGGAAGCGCTGCAGGTCGTGAGAGTTGCCCAGTTTTTCTTTGCGTTGGTCAGCACGACCCACCAGGCTGCTCCAGGCAGTGTTCAGCTCGGTGCACTTCTCCTGGATGTCATCCACAGCCTCAGGATGAGACTGAATCAGACGCTCTGCAGTCTCACCAAGAGAGTTCACCTGCCCCAGGAAGAAAATGATATATAAATCATGACAATTTTCAAAATAGTTTTAGCATGTTAACAGATATGACAATATTAATGTATTTGGTCTTGGCGGACTAGATCTGATACACCTGCTACACCAGAGCAAACATGTAAGATATGCTGCTGCTGCATGAATAGGCACATATAAATCATGTAGCAAATCTAAACAGGTGGTGCTGGGGGAGGTGGAGGGTTTCAGAGGAACTCTGATAGCATGCAGCAGAACTAATTTACAGTATTTAAATGTTGAGCAAGCAAGCTCACTGGCTAAAGAATCAGGAGAGGACAATGAGCTTGTGCTGTGTAGTAAATAATGTGATTTTTGGCAGATTGCATGTAAAGGACCTATCAGGCTGTGCCATATAAAGTTTTATGACTGAACTAGATATTTAGCAGATGTTCTGTTAGGAATGAACCAAAATCTAAACCAAAAATTTACATTTTACCTTGTCTCCTAGAGCAGCCAGGTCTCTCTCGAAGCCCTCGTGCTTACGCTGCAGAGCCTGCACGCTGGCGAGGTCATGACCGTAGTTATCAGTGTTCAGGGCTTGGTTCTTCTCTTCGATCCATTCCTTGGTCTCATCTGCATCCCTGTAAATCACACACTGAGCTGAATTCCTCTGCACTTCATGTGGCTCACATCACACATGTATAACATGAACATAACAGTATAATTTTGAGGTTAATCAGCGGCATATATGTACCTGTGGAACCTCTGCACCTCATGAGCACTGCCCAGCATGTTGCTTCGGTCTTCAGCCAGCTGCTGCAAGGCCCTCCAGCGGTTGTTCAGCTCCTATACACAAACATATAACCATTAGAAGCTAATCAGAGGGCAGGTTATAGGTCCAGTTAAGACAATGATATGATCCCTGACAGCAGATTTGACTCCCTGAGGTCACGTCTTAAATTATATAAAATGACTGATGAGAAACAAACCTTTTTTTGGCAATCTACATTCAGAAACATGAAATTTAACAGCCAACCCACTATCCAAAGCGCCACATAAATGGTTCCATATCCTTTGCGTCATACTTTGCTCTACACATCAGTAGCAAAAGCAACAGTATGGGTAAGTGGCATAAACAGAAAGGCTACAACATTAAAGCACATAGGATAAGTGATGACAGTTAGCAAATATGGAAAACTTGGGTGGGTGCATCGGCCACAAACTGAAAAAGAAGCGTTAATGCATGCTTACCAAAGATACATTTATTTAAACACAAAATACAGTAAAAACATTAATATTGTGAAATATTACAATTTAAAAATAACTATTTTCATTTCTTTTAGAAATCATTGTAATATGCTGAAGAAACATTTCTTTTTATTAGCAATGTTGTAAACAGTTGCCTAATATTTCTTTGGAAACTGCTATTTTTTGTAGGATTCTTTGATAAATAGAAAGCTCAAAAGAACAGCAATTATTTGAATGAAGGGGAGGTGTGATGAAGGAATGGAGGGTCAGAAGGAGAAAGAGGAAAAATCACCAAATCTATAAATCTCATACATTCAGGCATATAAATAAGAATACTACTCTGATGTATACTCTGATTATACTAAGTTTAAATGTAAACATAAAATTGATGAGTGGAATGACTCAAAATCTAGAAAACATCATGATGTATACTACTGTCAAAAAGTTAGATACGATTTTTAAGTTATAGAAATAACTCTTTTATGCTTACCAAAGATACATTTATTTAAACACAAAATACAGTAAAAACATTAATATTGTGAAATATTACAATTTAAAAATAACAATTTTAATTTCTTTTAGAAATCATTGTAATATGCTGAAGAAACATTTATTTTTATTAGCAATGTTGTAAACAGTTGCCTAATATTTCTTTGGAAACTGCTATTTTTTTTAGGATTCTTTGATAAATAGAAAGCTCAAAAGAACAGCAATTATTGAAAAAAAAAAAACTAAAATTATGTCTTTACAATATTTTTATACATTTAATACATGCTAGCAAAGAAATAAAACTGACCCCAAACTTTCAATGGCAATGTATGTTTAGTCAAATTCACTGTGTGTGTAAAGTGTTTTTCTTCATACCTGGGCCTGCACAACAGGAGCCTCTTCAGCCATCAGTCCTTCAGACTCCAGCTCAGATGCCACCTTGTTTATATCCCTCAGCCGAGATTCATTTGCTTTCAGATCCTAGCAAACAATAAAAAATACAAGAGTTTAGAATCAGTGGAAACTTATTAGCCAATGCTAGCATCCAGTGATAAAGGAGTCATAAATGTGTATGAGAAACATACCTTCTGGAAGTCATCAAACTTCTTCTGCAGAACTTCCACTTGCTCCAGATCAGAGCCGACCTCCTCATTAGTAAGCGCTGATTCTTTCTCATTGATCCACTGCTGCAGCTCGTTCGCCTCACGGAAAAGCATGAACTTCTTGCAGCTCTTCTCCAGCATGTCCTTCCTCTTCTCTCCAAACTCTTGCAGTGTACCATACCTACGAAGAGAGATCAGAGACTTTAATGCAACTCCCACCTCAAAACTTGGACTGAAACATCTCTTTCTAGGAGAGGAAATAGAAGCTGGAAACACGGACAGGGGTTCATCTAACAGTGAGAAATTTGCATAGTCAGCAATCGAAAATGCAGAGTGAAACATCTAGACACCAACTCCACAAAAGGAAAAGCTTATAATGACAACATCCTCAGAAAAGATGTGAACGTCTATCTATCCCTTAATGGAATAGAAGAGGAGGAAGAATGAGACAATGATCTGATGGACAGAGAATGATAGAATTATAGAAGACCTAAAGCAGGAAAAACAGCAAGATGGATGAGGGGAATGTGGATGCAATGATTTTGCAATGATGGAGGCTTCTTTGATCAAATAAATGACATTGGTCGGGCCTACTCACAGTTCCTCCACCTGCTTCATGCGTACAGATACGCTGCACACCTCCTTGGTGACCACAGTCCTGCCACAGGGCAGGGCAAGCAGACACATGCAAGCATTTAAATTAAGAAAGAAAGAAAGGAAAAAGAGGAGTAACGAGGGGTCAGAAACATTATTAAGAGTTAGTTTTTAACAGATGCCTTATTTGAGCTGCAGGAAGAGTAAAGATGCAAAGATCTTAAGAGGCTTTGTGTTAAAAAGAAATGATTTTGTTGGAATGTAAGTAGTAAGGTTGAAAAATATACACAAAAATGTTCACATTAGGGCCATCAATCAATTAAAATTATGAATTAATATTTCTTAACATTTTTGTGGAAACATACTTTTTTTCAGGGAACCTTTTTCTTTGATGAACAAATTGTCTTTGTGAAACAAATCTTTTTTAACATTATAACTGTATTTACTGTCACTTTTGATCAATTTAATGAATCCTTGCCGAATACAAATATTAATTTATTTTTTCTTTCAAAAAATGATTCTTTCTGACCTCAAACTTTTGAGACATTGACAGCCCGAATGCATATTAGACAAAGTAAGTAGTGTGCCCTCAATCATTTGAATGAAAACCAAAAGCAGAATGACTCTTACTGATTCTCAATCTGCTCCTGTCGCAGAGCAATGCTGCCCTGTTCATTTAGCAGATTCTCGCGAGAGGAAGATTGAGTCGGGTCTAACTTCTTCACGTACGCTGCAGGAACAAAGCCCTGCCTGTCGTTCACTTCCACTTTCCACCAGTCCTGAGAACAAGATACATATATATATATATATTATTTACACAAGTCCAAGAAAGTCATCTGGATTCAAACTGGCATGCTAAGTAACACATGTAGCGTGCCCTATTAATCACCTTGTTGGTGCTGTTGAGCAGAGTGAGGATGTCGCCCTTCTTCATGGTGACCTCACGTGGACTCTTCTCCTGGTAGTCGTATAGAGCAAGAACCAGCTCCTTGCCGGTCTCATCATCAGTGGGGGCCACTTGTTGCTGTTGATTAAATCAATAAAAAAGGACCAAATTTTCATTTCCATAAAATGTAAAAGTTTTACGTGTTATTTCCTTTTGGTCAATGCAAAAGAGTTCTTTGTGATCTTACTCTGCAGGCCTCGGCTTGTTCTTTTAATGCCTGGATGCTGCTGCCATACGCACTCAGATCAGACATCAGTGCCTCGTGCTTCTTCAGCAGAGCCTGTAAATGATAACATTGACATTTTAGAGCCATCCATTTTTTTATACAAAACTGCGATGACACCACAAAAGCAATTGAGTTTACTTCTGCCAATTAAGCACTTTAAACATCTTATGATGTATAAGGGATGCTACATGAAACGATCATCAGAAAAGAGACGAAGTTATTATTTTTTTTACCTTACATTGCATTTTTTGCTCAAATATTAGTAAAAATTCAATGTAATATTCTTACTAATTTCATTCTAGATCCAGCCCTCTTTCTTGTTTACCTCTGCAGAGTCTTCATCTTTGCCGTAGTCAGTGCTTCCTACAATGGGCTCCTTCTCTCTCATCCAAGACTCAGCTTCATTGGCATCAGCAAAGTACTGCTGAGCCTGAAGGGAGTCCTCCAGATCCTGTCTACGCTGGGCCGCTTTTCCCTTCAGTCCATCCCAACGATTGTGCAGCTCTTGCAGCTTAGTTTTCACATCGTCCCCTGCAAAGTGACCTGAAATTTGGAAAAAAGCATTTTTGAATATTCCAAATTTATTGTTTCTACTTTGAATAATGACTAAAGCTGTTCTGAACCGATGCCTAATAGAAAGTCAGTCTTATGAAAGTGCAAGAATGAAATATTACCTTCTTCAATCATGGCCTCCCCCTTCTGAGTAACAGCCTTGATTCGGGGTTCATGGCCAGAGATTTCTGCCTGCAGAGCCTGGTGTTTCTTCAGAAGGTTCTGGACTCCAATAAGGTCTTTTCCTGAGAGAGTACGAGAAAATCGTTGTTTTTAAGAATATCAAAATAAAATTATAGTAATTTCAGATTTCATTCATGCAATTTAATCACACTAACCCCTGTTGGTGGAGGAAGCAATGGGTTCCTTCTCTCGGATCCAGGTCTCCTCATCTTCCAAATCCCTGAAAAGTTGTTGAAGGCGCAGAGAGTCTGACAGCTTCTGTTTGCGGGCTGCCATGGGCTCCTTTAGAGCCTCGTAGCGTGCCACCAGAGCCTCTTGTTTTTTGCGGATGTTATCAGCGTCAAAATGGCCAGCCTCCTGGAACTGCCTGGCCTGAATAGTAATGCCATCAATGCGGTCCTGTAAAGAGGAGAGTTAAGATGAATGAGTTCAGATGTTAAAAAACAAACACTGCCAGCTGTACAGAATCATACAAGAAACAGTGTAAATGTCTAATATCAGTTACTTTGAAAATCATTCAGACATTGTTACCTGGTGAGCAGCCACATCAGCCTCCAGCAGAGCATGTTTCTTCTGAAGATTCTGGACGCTGGTCAGGTCTTTGCCAAAGTCATCGGAGGCTAGGTGTCCCTCCACCTCATACAGCCACAGCTCGATGTCCTCTACATTACGATTGAACTGCTGCTGCTGGTTCGCTTCACGCAACTTAATCCCTGAATGAGTAAATAATGCGATATCACTGAAAAATCTGCCTTTTGTTTCATAATTACCAATAATAAATCAGATAAACATAGTTTTTAACTACCGACAACTGTCTCTTCCTGTGAAATAGGCAGTACTGTCACACTGTGCCATTTTCTCACCTTTGAGTTCAGTTGCCTCTAGAAGTTTCTTCCACTGAGAGCTGACCTCATCCATTCGGGTGGACACCTCGCTGGAGGCGTAGTGTTTTCCATCAACCAGCTCCTGGCCTGACTTCTGCAGTGCATCAATGCGGCTCTGATTGGCAGAGAGCTCAGCTTCGAAGGCCTGGTGCTTCTGTACCTTCCCCTGCAGGTTGGATGGGTCCTGACAGAGAAGGAATAGCGGGTGAGAGTAAGAAGCAAATATAAACAATTGATTCCAAATGTGTAAAACAACTCTAGGACAACATACCTTGTAGGCCTCGTCAGTGGCAGTCTTCATCTTCTCATTGATCCAGCTCTTGAGCTCATCAGAGTCCCGGAAAAACTGCTGCAGATGGAAAGAGTCCTCCAGGGCGGCACGGCGAAACTGAGCGCGCTCGTGAAGAGCGTTGCGTCTGCTCAGCAGCTGAAGTAGAAAAAAAGGTGTTTAAGTCATAGTATTACCAGTGATTCAGCACTTCTGTCAGCAATAATTGAGGGGAGGAAAGTGCTTGTGGGGTTGAAATGAAGGACGTTTCAGGGTGCTAATCTCCACTTACTGCATCTCTGCGAGTGGCCACATCCTCCTTGGCGTAGTGATTGTTCTGGATCAGTTTGGTGGCAAATTCATCCAGGGCCTGTATATTTCAGTAGAGAATTAAAAAGAAAACGGAGTAAGATTTGTAAACCTGATTATAACAGGCCTTGGATTTTATGTCAAGCTGTGATTTCTTACGGTGATCTTCTCTTCCTGGGCACTGAGGGATTTCTCAAAGTCTTCATGTTTCTTCAGAAGAGCTTCAACACTGTCCAGAGAGTCACCAAGATCTTCATTCAGCAGGAAAGCCTTTGAGAAAAACAGTTTGAAATGTTTAAATCTTTGCTCTCAGTTGAAAACTAAATTAAAGTGTTTTGGGTGATTCTCATAATATGATAAGCCTAGATGAATTTGTACCTCTTGCTTGCTCATCCAGTTGTCGACCTGCTCAGTGTCTCTGTAAAACAGCTGCAGGTCCATGCACTGCTCATACTGCTGCCTGCGTAGCTCCCACAGCTCCAGAAGAGACACTTTCTCTTCAGACAGGATGCCCAGCTACACCAACAAACACAAAATGAGGGTCATTCAGATTCTCACTTTAGAATTAAAAATACATGAATGATGATTTGAAAATAGCCTACAAAAACACAGGTCCAAGATCAGACACACCTTTTCCTTGACTTCCTCAGAAGCATAATGTCCAGTGTTCAGCAGAGCCTGCCCAGCCTCATCGGTAGATTTGAAACTGTCCTCATGTGCATCAATCTCGCCCTGGTAAAACATTATGGACATTATGGTCTTTCAATGTCAAGCATCCTTGGTAGAGCAATACTATAAGTGCAATACTAAATAAGCAAATCAGTTTTAAAAAAGAAAGAAAGGTTTAAGATCCTATATTTACTATCCAAACATAATTTTCCCATGTTGCTCTACTTGTTTAGATTTTCAAAGTTCAATACCTTATGCTCCTGGTGGCGGTCAAGCAGGGCCTCCGCTCCGGCCACATCGTTGGCCAGCTCATCTGCATTGATCAGAGCCTTCATCTCCGTCACCCAGCTGGTCAGGTCACGGAAATCTGCAGTGAAGCGCTGCAACCTAGAAGCAAGACAACCATGAGATCACAAGCTAGCATAGTGTAAACTGAGTTTAAAATCTCAACCAATCAATCTGAGGTATTGATCAAAAGCAAAAAGGTGCGTCTTAGCCTACCTGTAGGAGTCATTGAGCCGAGCGTGTCGTTCAGCTGCCAGGGTACGGATCTGCTCCCAGTTGGTAATGAGTTCGTCTCTTTTCAGGTGGATCTGAGAGGCATTCTGGGGGTGTGTCTGCTGCAGACGGTCTGCCTCGCCGCCAAGAGTGTTTACCTGAAGACAGAACAGAATGTCTATATCAAACAAACTGAATGACTGTACAATACATCTCTGCAACAAATTAAATGTACATAAATAAAACAATAAAAGAATAAGTGTATAAATGTGATGGGCAAGTCTGTATTGAGGGATAGAAAAAGAGAGTTTGTGGATATGCTGAGTCTGACCTTGTCCTTCAAGGCTGCCAAATCTCTTTCCAGCCCCTCGTGTTTCCGGAGCAGGGCTTGAACGCTGGCAAGGTCACGACCAAAATCATCAGATGCCATCAGCTGCTCCTTCTCCTTAATCCAGCTGATTGTCTCATCCACATCCCTGTAGGTCAGAACAGACAATTTCAGTGACTAAACACATTTAAACCAACAAATTTGTATAGTAGTGATTACAAATGTCTTGAATAACTCACCGGTTGAAACGCTGCACCTCAGCAGCTCCAAATAGCTTGCCCTGCCTTTGCTGAGCCAAACCCTTCAGCCTCTGCCAGGCAGCGTTCACCTCCTCCTGCTTCTTCAGGATGAGCTCAGCCTCGGGATGGTTCTCTTGGGTTAGCTTACCGGCTGCCTGGTTCACCTCATTCACACGCTCCTCGTGGGCTGCCAGGTCTGTCTGGAATTCTTCAAACTTCTTCTGCAGAACCTCCACATGCTCCAGGTCCTGGCCAAGCTCCTCTGAGGTGGCAATAGCTTCCTGCAATAAAATATTGCTATTGTGTCTTCAAATACATTGGATGAAATTATACTTCAGTATTGACCAAACATATATACAGCGTAATATATGATGTCTACTGTGGTTTCTCACCTTGTCATTGATCCAGTCCAGGGCATCCTCACACTCACGGAGGTACTGCACCAATTTCTGGGCCTGCAGGAGACGCACTCCCTTCTCTTTAGTCTTCTGCAGCAGCAGGTCCCACAGACGGTGAAGTTCCTCTAGACGGGTCTAAGTTTTAAGAGGGGACAAAGACAGACAATTAGGATCAAAACAAAACGTGATCAGAAACAAAAACAAAAATATTATTCAAGGACAGCTCAGATTAAATCAACTTTTTTTTTTTTTTTGAAAAACAAAGTCAGCTTGGACTGTAATAGAAAGACTGAATAAGGAACTTGAGGTAGAATGAAAAGGAACACAGCACTCAGTTCTTTTAAGGTACATGCACTGTAAAATGAACTACAACAAATGAAAATTTCACCGCACTCAAGTACCTACTGGAATAAAAGCACCATAATTGACACTTTTTACTATTGGTCGCTGAGCGGTCCGGTAAGGCGTGAAAGACTGATCCATATAGGATAAAGTTAAAACACTATAAATTTCACTTTTCTCCATTATGGAACTCTAGCATGTGGTATTAAAAAGAAAAAAACCTTACTCGAATGGTTTCAGATGCAAAGTGGCTCTCAGATGTCATGAGATTGCCGGTCTCGTCCAGTTTAATGATGGCCCCAGCGTTAGCCTGCACCTCTGCCTCAAAGGCTTGATGTTTCTGGAGCTTTCCCTAAGAGATGGGGAAAAAATGCTATATGAGACAAAAATGCATCATATGCAGATTTTTATTAATAAACACTGTATATTATGAAAATGCATTTCTTCTGAGAAGTTTCCAACTTTGCAAGGCCTGATTTCAACCAATTGCAGAATTATCTCTATAAACGTCTGCATGAGTCACAACACAAACCTTGTGACCAAAGTCACTGCATGCATGTGTTCATTTACCGTATTCAGCTATTATAACAATCTGATGACTCTATAAAGTAATTCACTGCTGATTACAGCAGACAGACCCAGCCGAGGAATTTACAGCTTAAGGGAGGACTCACTTCAAGAACAGAGGTGACAGCACATTTTTCGGTAAATGTGATTTCATAAAGGACGCTTATGAAGCTTATTTTTACTCTCACCTGTAGGTTACTGGGGTCCTTGTAGTTCTCATCAGAGGCGATCTGTAGCTTCTCTTGGATCCATTTCTCAAGCTCATCTGCATCTCGACGGAAGAACTGGAACCGGTAAGAGTCCTCGAGTTTCTGTCTGCGCACAACGGACAGCTCCTTGAAGCGACGGTACCGGTCAAGAACCTGCTGACGGCGCTCCTGGATGTCCTCAGCTGACTCCAGAACTTTAACTCCACTGATATCCATTTTCTAAAAGAGGGAAAAGATAATGGATAAATCTCCAAATGTCCAAGTCCTTCCACATGATTTTGGGCTTAGTAAGCAAAAGCAAAAATGTGAATACACTTTTGAAGAACCTTAGTATGGCTTCCTGATCAGAAAGGAACAAGAGTACAGCAAGAGTGTTACTTGAAAGGAAACAATGGGAACTTCCAGGTAATATGTAAAAAGGACAAATTCAAGAGTTTATACAGGAACTTTCATGTTTTAAGACAATTGTGTATTGGTGCAAATAAAAAAAATTAAAAAGACACCACTAAGTCTGTGTGGAACAAACACTCACTCAAGGGAGGTACCTAAAACCAAGCAGACATTTTATGAGTTAAAAGACACAACTCTCCCAAGCAATGGCCAACAGCTGAGCACATGGGGGGCCCGGCGGAAATTCCTAACGCTTCTGAGTAAACTGTCACAAAGAGAGTGCTGCCATCAGCCCCCCGCTGACACTGAACACAACCCCCACCAATCCAACGGCATCTGTCCCATACTGTCAGTGGGGAGGGGGTTGTGTGACTTCAGCTGTATTCGAAGGTGGAGGGGACGAAGTTATGCTTGTGTCCAGAATGAATGAACCAGGGAAAGACGGGTCACACCCAGGCTACAGCAAATGTCTCTAGCTCTTTTTCTACGAATAGTGTGCCGTGTGATGATCTAGAACTGTTCCGTTCGTTCTGGGTCAGAAAAATTGTCACCACATGTCAGAGGTTGGGGGATGGAATAATCTCAACAACAGTTTATTCTGATGTGAAACAAAACTAAATTGTTCTCATTATAATCAACAAAGCTGTTGACAGAAGAAACACTGGAAAATGACTCAAAACTATTCTCAAAACTCTTTATACTCATAAAAGACCATTATGTGTCATGTTTATTGTAGTCAGGTAATATAATGACAAAAGCTGTTAAGTCAGGAGAATCGTAAGCTGATTCTCAAAGAGGTTTGCTGATTTTGAGCACCAGACTGACTGGATTTCTGGGAATGCAGGGTCAAGTTGTCGGTCCATTTCAGAAGAGTCAAAGAATAGGATAATAAATACCCTGTTAATGCAGTCAGACACATCTGGCTCAAATCAAAATTATGTTCAAAGTGGTGATAAAAAGCTAACTTAGGACAAAGAGTAGAAGAATTCACTTCACACACAGGTGTGAACATCTGGAGCCATTCCACACTGACGTGTGAACATCTGAACATTCTTCATCTGTTTTAGAAAAAGCATGGCAACTTTTTAACCCTTTCTGTGAGGATTATTTAATTATTTCTTTATTCATCTAATGATAAAGGTTATTTTCTTGACCAGAATATTGTAATTTAAATTACAATTTTAAAAAATGAATTGTAAGATTTTAAAACACTAGGCATTATACTCTTCTCTTGCTGTTGTTCCAAACAAAAGACACTACCTAAAGCATGCACCTGGTTGATAGGAGACACAAGACAAATTAAAACAATTTGTTCTATAATCAGCTCAAAATACCAGACATGTTTGATATCCTCCAACAGTATGGAATTAAAAGTCTAAAGCTAAAAAAAATGAGTCTGTGCCCATCATACACTACGTGATTTTCTGTGAAATCTGTCAACTCTAACTACTCAAAATCTTCAGATTAGCCATGACTTCCGGCAAATACAGTGTTGATTCGTCCAGACTGTAAATTGGGGCAAAAGTCATGTAGTGTATTCCAGCCTTGACTATATACAAAACTATATTATGGTTTAATATTTGACAAACTGTAAAACTTTTCCCTTGTTAAAAACATTCATTAAAAAGCTTTCTTTATAAAATCTTTAAGATAATTAAATTACCACATATTTCTATGGGTTTATTCAACAATAGCATTACTGTATGACTGCATGTGGATGTTGTCTGACAATCACATGCTGTGCTCCATTTGCTGAAGCGAATCCATCATAGGATGCATTTGGAAAGGGTTCAGGCTAATCCAAGGTCAGGAAAACTAACAAAACAGCACTTTAACAATGCGAAGAGGGACCAGACTATGGAGTCAGCCATGTAATGCACTGTTAGCCTGGATCAATACAGTCTTTTGTTATGCTGGCCAAAACTGCCATCTTTCCACTATAACCCTCCATGCATGTACATACACGAAGAAGAAAAAATATGATGGAACAAGAGCAAAGAGAAGATCATGCTAAATATAAGAGACAGAAATGGCAATGGCTTATGAAGTCTCATGAAGTTAGATAATTAACTGCAGGAGATCAGCCCTGTACAAAACATCTGCTTGATATAATGACAGAAGGATGGAAAAGAGAAAGCAGATGAGGAAGTGATTAGCTAATGGCTGATCCATTAGTGAGGTCCTTGACTCAATCATAACCTCTTAAAAAAGCATAAAACACATCCAGATGAGAAATGTGATGAATGACCGCTGATCTAATGCAGCTTGTGCTCTACTGTGAATATGTCCTGTTTTTGTCCAGATCAGCTGGATGCATGCCGCCTTTCCCCCAACCCTGCCTTTCCCAAAACGATCCCGTCTCAATGTCCGCTTAGATCAGACAGGGGATTACGACCAGCTCAGCTTGGTTTTACTCAGACAGCTCTGCGAGGATAGATGTCATGTCCACGGATCTGTACCGTTAAGTTAAGCCGGCAAATCAAATGTGCGTTGGAAAAAACGCAATAGGCCACACCCATGCACAGATCAAAAGTCAGCAGATGTCAACCCATGATGAGTCTTTAATAAACATGAATTCTCAATATCTAGGTTGTGATGTTTTTCAAAATGCTTAAGCATGAAATAAAAGTTGCAAATTAAAATGTCCAAAAAAGTAATAAAACTCACCAGAATATAAAGCTACGTGTCCACGAGGGTCTCACTGCAGTCCAGCTGTAGCAACAGATAGCACCTCTAAACGCGACTGCGTGCTAGTGATAACACAAACTAACACTTTCTTCTCCCTCTCTGTTCCTCTCGATCATGCTGATTCTGAATCCAAATGAATACAGCAGTCCAGCAGCACTCTGGAATGTTCCCTTCTGTTTCCCACACGCTCGTTCATTGAGCAGTGCGCTTCAGTAACTGTCTCTCACATTCCCAACACATGATGACACAGGCAAAGTCCAACTTCTCGCCCTGCTGCATTACAGTGGCATTTATGATTTATGAACAGGCAACCATTAGAAGAGCTTTAAGATATGACATGCTGAAAACCATTTTATGTTCTTGAGGTTTGTGTAATAAAAAAAAAACACTCCTCCAAAAAAAAAAAACCAACCATCTTTGTTATAGTCATACTAAAACCATTATGGTCAAAACCACAAACCCACAAACCAAAAAAGGAAGAGAAATCAACAGAATAAATAATAATAATAATAAACCATCTTTTAGAAATGCACAATATATTGGAATCACATTTGTTATGTATATTAGTGATTTAAAAAAATATATATCAGTATTGGTTGACACTGGATACACTACTGTTTTGTGGTCAGTAAGCTTTTTTTTAAAGAAATTAATGCTTTTATTCAGCAGGGCTGAATTAAATTGATCAAAAGTGACTAGATTTGAACATATCACTTGACCAGAATTTTAATATCAGTGAATCCCTAACCAATTGTTTGCAGCCTATAAGATCCTTTGTTACTGTTTTAGAATATTCCCACTCCAACCAGACAATCAGGACTCTCTAATAACGTCAAGGCTCCTATTTGCGCTCTGTCCTGATAATAAGGTTGTCCTGACAGACATTCTTAAGATTCTCTTGGAGAAGAGCTAGGATATTAATAACCACAAGCCTGAAGGTGTGACAGATTTTCAAAGCAGTATTCAGAAGACAGTGACATCTGTGTGAAAATGAACCACTAACAAGGAAAACTAGAACATGAAAGTGAGTCAATCATGAAGCTGCATTGCTAAAGAGACTAGATTCTTATCAGATCACAAGGTGACATGAAAAATGAAGTGATGTAATAAGACATTTCCTCAAGCGTTCATTTTTCATAACATGGATCCCATACTCCAAACATCAGTGTTCAGCACGAGTGAAGCACTTATCATTAAATGCACTCCCACTATCAAGCTGGGAATACTGAGAACTCAGTGAGGTCACATTGAAAGCCTGGAAGTTTCCATGGTAACACATCTGTATCCGAGAGGAGCTGACGTCTGAATGGGAGGATGCAGGCCTAAGGAATTTAGAGGAAATGGGTGGGCTGTCTCCAAGGATTTAGCTTGGCTAATAGTAGCTGTTTGAATAGACCAAAAAGCTGAAATAACAGCGATAGAGATACAGATACAGATAAAAGCGCCTATATTATTTAAACCCTTACACTTAAAGAATTGGCAAAAATAAAAATTTGCTAAAAAAAAAATCTACTCACCATCGGGCCATCCAAAATGCAGACAAGTTGGTCTTTATTGGAACAGATTTGGAGAAATTTAGCATTACATCACTTACAATGCATTCTATGCAGTGAATGGGTGCCGTCAGAATGAGAATTCAAACTTGTGGTCGACCGATATTGGTTATTTGACAGCCGATGCCGATGCTGATATCTTGGAAAGCAGGGTGGCTGATGGCCGATATAATTTTATTTAATATTTAAGAAATAATAGAATAAATGTGTAAAATAAACATGCTTGTACTAATGTTGTCACGGTACCAAAATTTCAGTATTCGGTACCAATACCAGTGAAAATCCACGGTTCTCGGTACCAATTTCGGTACCAAAGCAAAACACAAAAACATGCTAATTGAACAACATTTTTATTAATAATGTTAAGCAAAAATTAAATGTACAAAACCAATGCCATTCTTTATACTTATTTAAAAGTGTTTCTAGTTTTCCCACAAGTAATAAAAATATGAAAAATGTAAACAAGTTTCACCCAAAAGTTTAGTCATAGTTCTGCTGCCACTGAAAAACATCTGTAAACTGTTGTCTGTTTTAGGGTTTGCTGGTGTGTTTCAGGATCTTCCTCAGTCTGCAGCTGTAAAAGGAAAA